TTCTGTCCCCATCCCACCACCAAAGCCACTCCTGTCATGGTCACCGATGACCTCCATCTTGCTCAATCTCTGTTTTTGTCTTACTTGCCCTGGCAGCCCTCAACATGGTTGACCATACTCCCCTTTCAGCTCTGCTTCCCTTCTCTAGGCTTCCATAACCCCCCACTCTCCTAATTTTCCTGCCACCTCAGTGGTGGCTCCTCCTGTCCCAGGCCTAAGCATGAGAGAGCCCAGGCCTCAACCCTCAGTTATCTTTCCATTCTGACTGTTCTCTCTACCAAGTTGTTCCTATCCAGACTCAGGTCCTCCCATCACTGACATGCTGATGTCGTTGACCTGCTGATGAGTGGTTTGCCTCCAGCCCCCTCTATCCAACCACCTATGCTACATTTCCATACGGACATCTATCAAAATGTCAAACTTAACATGACCTAAAATGAACTCTTGTTTTACCCATACCTGCTCTTGTCCCAGCCTTTCCCATTTTGGTAAATGGTGCCCCTATTCCCTTGGCTGCTCTGGCCAAAAACTAATCATTACCTGTGATTCCTCTTCTTCCTGTGTGGCTCACATTCAATTCTTCAGCAAATCCTGTTAACTCTATTTTTGAAATGAATCTGGAGTCTGACCACTTCCCACCACCTCCACTGCAACTACCCTGGCAGAAGCCACCATCTCTGCAACAGCCCCCTCTCTCCCTGCTCCCCACTTAACCACCACCCCATAGGCTGTTCTAAGTAACCCATAGATGCTTACACCTGACAGTTCGTGTTCCAAACAGCCATTGTTCTGACAGCTTTTGGCCAGTGTTCCAACGACTGACACCCAGACTTCTATGCAATGGACAGCCTAACCTCTAACCCCCTGATCCTCAGAATTCTGTCACCTGTTCTTTGGGATTACAAATAATAGCCACAGAATATTCAGAATGCCTGGGGTTCTTTCAGGGACAGCCAGCATTCTAACAATTAACATCCTGGTATTCTAGTAACAATTGGTCATATTCTAACAGTGGAAACCTGTTTTAACAACTAGACACTCAGTGTGGTAGTTTTAGTTTTTTATATCAGCTGACAGCCAGGTTTCTCACAGTAGACATTTTTCTATACCCTGTGCTTTAACCATCTGATGCTGAACATTGTAAATGATTGCCATGGAATGTTCTGGACAGTGGATTACACAGTGCTTCAAAGGGCAGTCATTGTCCCCATCATGTGTGTGTGACTCAGGGCTTGAGCCCAGCTGGAGGTGGTGTCAAGACTCTGAGACTTTAAAACTGAGACTGAGTTTGGTCATTCCCCATCTTGGAGCTCCCTCTGCAGAGAAGCACTGGTGGTGCCACGTGGGCTTGTTCTTGGGCTCAAACCCCAAGGGAAAAAGGGAAGAGCTCAGGGCTTGCTCAGGAGTGGAGTGTGAGGGAGCATGACTGCTCAGACACATTTAGGAAAACTCGGCTCTGCAGCCAGTCAGTGACTGCCTTCCCCTTGCCTGGAGTTCTCCCATGGGAAACCAAGAACAGCATTATCAGTGCTTTAAACATCATCTGAACCAATCACCTCATTCGACAGGTTTGGAAACTGACACCTGGAACGGACCCCAGGCTTGCCTTTGGTCACTAGTGTGTTCTCAGTGAGCTGCTCAAAGCCCCACCTAGAGGCAGGCATGGGTCTACCATCCTCCTTAGGGCCTGCCCACCCCGCTGCTGACAGTCCTTTGGCTCTTACGCAGGAGGGTAGGTGGTGGCATCTCTGATTCCTCTCCAGGGCTCCAGGGGTTCTGGGGGAGCAAACCTGAGGTCACCTATAGGGGGTCTGGAGAAGGGGACTCCTAGGAAGGTGTGGATGGTCGTCTTCCCCACATGCATCTGTTTTCCTTGGAGCATCCCATATTTGGTGACCACTAAAGGCTCCTTGATGTGCAAGGCACCTGGTAAGAGAAGGGACAAAGGTCACCCCAGCCAAGCCACTCTCAGCCACAGATGGGACCCTGACCCATCAGCCATGGGAACCAGCTGCTGCTTTTCATAACAATTGTGTATTTGTCCACTTTTTCTTGTGTTTCTCTCAGATTTTTTCTCTCATTATTTAAGATTTCAAAGCTATGTTGGTAGGTGCATAAAAGTTCATGTCTCTTATATGAACTATTTCTCTTTGTGTCATTGAATGTCAATAAATGTGTCATTTGTTTTGATTTCTGTTTGCCTGATGATAATATGGCTACACCTCTTTTCTTGTTGCTAACATTTGCCTGGCATATTTCAGGAAGAAATCACACACATCTATGCATTCTCACTCATGTACACATTTGCACCAATACTCACATGTACATGCAAATTTATACACACATTGGTATACATGAGCACAGATCATCTACAAAGAAACATGCAGAAATGAGTCAAATGCACGCCCATATGCATATATACATATACATACAAGTACAGTTATACATAGGTTACAATGTATTCATCTGCGGCACACGTACAATGCACACACACACACACACTTACACATACACAGTACAAATATACCCACACCATAGCCAGTTCTTAGAATAGATATGAAATAGGCCAAGTTGAATCGAGCCTTCTTCCTACAGTTACTTTTTCCTCCTCCTAGGCTCTCTCATCCTGTCCCACTGTTATTGCTGAGAGTTGTTGAGGCTTCACATCCACTATCCCTTCCTGAAGTGCCCTTGCCCATTTCTCCTTCTCTGCCTTACTAAAACTGAATTGTCTGTGCTGTGGTCCTTTGGGGCTTATTCTGTAAAGTGACAGAAAGCAAATCTGATCCAAGCAATTACTGAATCTAGATGTGCATCAGAATCATCTGGGGATTGTTGCAAAAATACAGATTCCTAGGCCCCACCACACACTCTCTGAATGAGAATCTCAGGGTTGCATCAGGAAATCAGATTTACAAACCTCTCTAGGAGATTCTTTCTTTCTGTTTACTTATTTACTTATTTTTCTCTCCAGGAGATTTCAACACAACTGGTGTTTCAATGCAACTAGCATTTGGAGTTGGTGTGGTAGAGCACACTCTCCCACTCCTCGCTGAAGGCGGCCTCTCTGCCCATGTCCCCAGATCTCCACAAGTCTCACCTAAGCAATATATGGGCACGAAAGGAGTAACTGTAATGGTGGCTCTCCAAGCGTGGAGGCAGGCCAGCAGGGGCAAGGGCCTTTTCAATCCTCTCCTGTGTGTGCAGCCCTTTGCAGTTTACAAAGTCCTTTCACATGGGCTTCTCACTGGCCGTGGCAGGAGCTGGGAAGGCCCAGAGAGGGGCAGTGATCAGCCTTCAGTCTCACAAGACAGAGCCAGGAGGCCAAGGTCTATCACATTACCTGGATTTGCCCTGAAAACAGGGTCCACCCACGATTGAACAGCCAACAGTTATAACTGATTCTTCATTACAGCCCAGCATTGGGCCAAACACTTTACATGTATTACCTCACTTTTCTAAAAAACGTATAGGGCAACTATTATTATTATTGTATCATATGAACATAGAAATTGAAGTTCAAACGGGTTATGTAACTTGCCCAAGGTCACACGGAGAGTATCTAAATCAGAGCTCTGCTCTAAACCATGATGTTTTTCTATCCGCGCCCCACCCTCTGGAGGGCACCTAACCATATGGCAGAGTGCTCTAGGCACCTGAACAATAGCTTCCATGCAGTGTTCTCTATTCCAGCTCTGCTACCCTGAGGCAACATGTAAGCTCTTATGAAATCAATATTCCAGCTTACTAGTAGTCATAAAGTGCTAATTAAGGCCAGGAGTTATAATTTCCACCTAATTAAAAAACAATAGCACCAAATTCTGCTGAAGATATAGTGAAAAGGACATTCACATATACTACTGGTGGAGGATAAATTGATACAATGCCTTGAGAAAATAATTTGGCAAAATGTATAAAGAGTTATAAAGTGTTCACATGCTTTGACTCAGTAATTCAATTTCTGGGTCCCTCCTCTATGAAAACAATCAGAAACAAATTAAAACAAAGATCTTTCTGAACCACGGTTATCTATTACCATCATTAATACTGGAAGCATCATTTATAGCTGGGGACCAACCAAATAAATATAACTATACTCTCAAGCTTTAAACTGCCCTTGATAAGATTTTAAGTATAAAATTATGTACATGCTAATATTACAGCTATATATAAATATGCAATAAAAAGACTAAAAGAAAATGTACCAAAATATTAAAAGTGGGTTTAGTAGTTTCCCTCAAATTTAAAAAAAAAAGTATTTATTTTTTATTTATTTTTAAAGATGACCGGTAAGGGGATCTTAACCCTTGACTTGGTGTTTTCAGCACCACGTTCACCCAGTGACCTAACCGGCCATCCGTATATGGGATCCGAACCTGTGGCCTTGGTGTTATCAGCACCGCACTCTCCCAAGTGAGCCACGGGCCGCCCCTGCCCCAAAAAAGTATTTATAGGGCAAAACTGTTTTTTTTTTTTTAAAGATGACCGGTAAGGGGATCTTAACCCTTGGCTTGGTGTTGTCAGCACCACACTCAACCATTGAACTAACCGGCCATCCCTATATAGGATCCGAACCTGGGGCCTTCGTGTTATCAGCACCGCACTCTCCCAAGTGAGTCACAGGCCGGCCCTGTAAACTAACTTATGATAAAGATCAGAATAGCGGTAACTAGGTGTATTGAGTGGGAAGGGGTATATGAGATGCTAGAATGTTCTAGATCTTGATCTGGACAGTAGTTACATTGCATATATAATATAATCCATATAATATATAACTGTACAGTAAAGACGTGTGCTTCTGGCTGTATATATTTAATACCTCAATAATGTTTTGTTAACGTGTTATATTGTTTTCACAATAAAAAGTATCATACTAATTTTAAAAAGAAAGACATTGGGAGAAATTTGCAGGTGGTAAAGAGGTCCATGTAGGGGAGAAAAAGGCAGAAGTAGGCTCCTGCTCAGGAGAAGGAAGGAAGGAGGGAAAAAGGAAAAGAATGAAGGATCTGGACATGTCATGTTTTGGGGTTCTCTTACTGGCTCTGGGTGGCAGGAGACACACTCCCCACTTTGCAAAGCAGCCCTGTGACCCAGAGAGGCCAAAGAACTTGTTTGGACTTCCAGCTCCTGAGTAGATTAGTGCCCTGAAACACCACCCTCTATTTGCCCTGATCTTGTCTAAGTGCCCCTGCCCCACTGTCCCCAGGAGAGGTTAAGCTGGGGCCTGTCCCTGTGTCCCTTGTGCCCCTCTTGCCTGACATTCTCAGGAAGGGTTGGGGTCTTACCTGGGGCTGTCTGCAACATCAGGAAGAGGGTGAGGCTCAAGCACAGTAGCCACTTCATGCTCTGGCCAGCTCCTGCCATGGGCAGGAGTGATGTCAGCACTGTGAATGTCAGATGACAGCTGCATCTGCAGTGTGTGAGCACCAGGCAGTCCTGCTTTTATCTCCCTTAATCTCCAGTGCTACTGGGGCAGGAGGAACTGTGACCAGCTTCTGACCAGCCCACAGCCTGGTCTCTGCCTCAGGGTGACAGGTCACGCTAGATGGTCTTGGCTCTTTAAACAGACCGATCACCCCACAATCCCTGCCCAGTTTGCTTATCTGTGCAATGGTGCCAAGTTGAGTGAGTGTGAGTCAAGCTCTGAGCCAATCTCTAGTGCTAAGATTGGAGCAGAACACCTGGTCCCTTCATCCCCAGTTTTCTCTCTTTGGATTTTAAGGGCCTCATCCTCTCTGCTCCCCTCAGCTTTGTCCAGCCTCTTCTACCATCATGTCCCTGCCCTTCCTTGCACATCCTGACTCTCTCAGCCAGGATTGTCATGGAGTGGCAGGCCCCATGCCAGATAC